CACACACACACACACCCATTGATTGATCGCCCCTCTGCTGTGTGAACTTTGCTAAGTTTTCCTGTTATGTAGTTTCAAGGAAACACCTCTCAGTATCACTGCTTTGTTTGATCAGCTTCCCTCTCCATCAGGCTTAAACAAACATCTTTTGAAATGTAAAAATGCAATTAGCATTTCTTGTTTTTTAGATTCCTCATTCAGTCTGCTGCTTGTGCTTTTCTGACACCATAGGTTTTATTCATCTCGCATCAGCCATGGCCTTCAGCAAAGGGTACCGCATTTACCACAAGCTGGACCCGCCACCTTACAGTGTCATAGTGGAAACCAGGACCAGGGATGAGTGCCTCATGTTTGAATCCGGAGCTGTTGCCGTTCTGTGTAAGGCGTCCTTTTTTAACGAACTATTTAAAGCAAGTGCAAATGGGAGATGCATTCTTATCGGTCTACCTGAGGGTAGGATTGTGGACTTGCAGCATTGCACGGTTGCTCTAACTGTGTATACTTTGTTTGACTTTCAGCGGCAGCAGAAAAGGAGGCCATTAAGAGTACGTACAGTAAAATTTTCGATGCCTATGGARTTCTTGGTGTCCTCCGCCTAAATCTGGGTAAGACAGGGTGCATTGTTTAAATTTTATCCCTAGTTTCAAATGTAAATATGAAGCCCCTGCTTGTGTTTCCTTCAGTTATAAGCTGCTTTTTCCCTGTCCTCCATATGACTTTGAAAGCTGCTATCATAACAAGAACCCATCCACCTTAATGCTTACAGCTCAGTCTTCTAGATGTTTGAGATTAGACAAGATCAGCTAACCRTTGCTCGCCCTGTCTTTAGATTCTTAACATTTCTGAATCTATTTTTCGTTCAAACGGCACAGCACAACAATCTTCCACATTGCGTTTCCAGGTGACTCCATGCTCCACAGCCTCGTGGTTGTAACGGGGTGCAGCTCTGTGGGCAAGGTGCAGGACTCGGAGGTTTTCAGGGTAACGCAGACAGACTTTATATCGCTGAAGAATGATGCAGGGGATGAGGATCGGATCGCTGAGGTGCGCAAGGTCCTAAACTCGGGACACTTCTACTTTGCCTGGTCTGCCACTGGAGTCAGCATGGACCTGAGTCTGAACGCACATCGCAGGATCCTGGAAGACACWACAGACAACCGCTTCTTCTGGTAGTGACCCTTGTGTAACATTAACTTTGCTTTCTATAATCTGCGGGAAAACGTCGTTTTGCGGTAATGGTTTGCAAACTCTCCCCACCTCTGCGAATAAACAGGAACCAGTCCCTGCACCTGCACCTGAAACATTACGGCGTGAACTGCGAYGACTGGCTGCTGAGGCTGATGTGTGGCGGCGTGGAGATCAGGACCATCTACGCGGGCCACAAACAGGCCAAGGCGTGCATCTTCTCYCGCCTCAGCTCGGAGCGAGCCGGCACGCGCTTTAACGTCCGGGGGACAAACGACGACGGGCAGGTGGCCAACTTTGTGGAAACCGAGCAGGCGAGTCGTGATTTTTTTTAACAGTTTTACGTTCTGGTTTGTCGCGCAGCGTCAAGTGCGCTCATTTGGCCGGCCTTTGAGGCGATGACAAAAATGTAGTCCATCTATTTCTAACAGTTTTTTCACAATAATCTTTTTTTTTTTTACATCTCATTCATTGGCGCCACATTAGAGGTGTTTATTTACTCATTTATTTAGGTTAATTTGTTCGTTTTTGTTATTGCACTTAAGAATGTTYTGTTTGAACAGGTTATTTTCCTGGAAGACAAAGTCTCATCCTTCATCCAGATCCGAGGCTCCATTCCACTTTTCTGGGAACAACCAGGAATCCAGGTACTGACATCCYAACGGCAGCGGTGATATTTAAATGTTTTTTTCTTCTATTTAGCCACATTTTAAAGAAATTAGAAAACTTTCTTGATGTTTAGCTAGAAGTCCTGATCATTTCATTTGATGCTGTGGCTATAGGCGGGGCTCAGTTTGATTAACTCAAAGCAGTTTGTTTTTAACAAAATTAAATCCTCAGTTTTAACACATTTTGTTACTGTGTTCAGAAAAAGTCCATTAAGGGTGTTTTGTTGCACATCAATGAGAGTCGGCACCCTAATGGACTGGATGAGAACCCCCACTTGGTATAACTCTTTTTTGTTTTCCTCCCCTCCTGTTTATTTTTATTTGGGGGTGGGGGTTAGTGGGCTTTGCTGTTGCTTTCATTCAGCAGATTGTTATTACTCTGTGCAATGCCAAAAATCATGAAGAATAAATGAATCCTCTTATTGCATTTTCAGCCTGGTTTAATGTACTGAAAAAAATCCAAACACTTTCAGATCTGTTTAGTCCTCAACTCAAAACATATTGGATTCTCTTGCTCTTGTCTTGACGTTGCACAGACTAGTAATTTAGATGAGATGGAGGGAGACTAATAGTAACAGTGGTTGGTAAAGGGCTCTTTTCTGTTTCCTCAGCTCCCAGACATCTTGGGTCAGGTGAGAGCCTGATCTGAAAACATCCCCTAACCACTTCACTTGATCTTTATTCTGCTAATCTTCCCAAAGCAGTTGAATAGGTGTCCACACATTCTAACCAAGGTCTTTGTTTTGGTCAAAACACATGRTGGTGGGCTTGGGGTTGTTTTCAGACGCAAATGTGGCCCCCCCTGCTTTAAAGCACCTTTTTAGCGCTCAGCCCCCTCTACCAGTTGTAGCGTGTAGGCTCTCTGCACCTTCCTCTCAATGACATTTCCTGAACAGGAGGTGTAGCTTTCGCTTTTTCTAAAGAAGAGAATGTTTGTTTTACTTTCAGAAATAGTTGTGGACTAGCAGCTGGATCAGTGCAASCAGCAAATCTTGCTCAGAAAAATGTAAATCAGCTTAGCTCTAAGTTCAGTTGAAACTACTAATAGTTGGAGTCAGTATCTTTAGATGTGCTCATAGGTTAAATACTGATTCRCTAAATTAAAATTTCTAGTTTTGTCTTTGTTTTTCACAATCAAACTWCTTATCTGTTCATGTATAAAAATGATGGACTTGTTCATGAATAGTTTAATGTCATTTTTAGTGTTTGTAACTTTTATGCTTTTTGAATTATTTAACGTAATTTAAAAACAAACGTTTTCTCTAAAATCCACTTCAGCATATGTGCAAATTTTATTCTTGTTTTAGCTACTTTTTTTGTACTTTTGGCTTTTTGCTACAGATTTACAGATTTTAGCTTTTAGCAACAGCTTCTACAATTTTAGCATTTAACTTTAGTTTTGYTAGTTTTAGTTTTGAGCTACCTTTTTGCTAATTTTGACTACTTTTTTTGCTAAGTTCTTTTCTTTTTGCTTTAACTTTAACAATTCAAATAGCAATTTATTTTAATAAACAACAGCATAGTCGTTCAGCACTCCGCATTCACACTGCATTTCTGTAAAAAAGGCTATTTCTCGGATATGTTCCCTTAGAAAATTAATTGTCATTTTGTAAATGAGTTTGAATAAACTAACAATCAGTGGAACTGGCCAAACACGGCTTGGAAACAGTTTCTTTGAGCTCTACCACTGCAACCTGAGTCGTTATCATCTCAGGAAGTGATTAAATATGCATGGACTGGACCAACGTGACAGAAGAGCAGACAAAAGAAGTCACAAATGGCAACAGTGTGGTTCAGTTCAGTCATTCAGAGGTCCAGCTCAATATAGACGTGCACAAGAGAACTAAGCTGGTGAATGCAAGCGAGTAAAAGTTGAAACGTGCAAGAGAGAAGCTTAAACTGAAAAAGCACTGAATTAATTTTACTTCTTGAGTGAAATACACTGCCTGGCCAAAATAAAAGGTCACACACTCTAATATAGTTTGTTTAGCTTTGATTACGGCACACATTCTCTGTGCAGTGTTTGGATAAACTTCTATTTCCATCCACAGGGTTCCTGCAGATCCTTAAAAAGTCTTAAAAGTCATTGAATTTAGCAATCCAAAAAATAAGGCCCTAATTAGCCTTAAAATGTCTTAAATCAATCTTTCAGAAGTCTTAAAATGTTAACACATTGTACATAGGATGATTGTAATTCATTTCAAATATTAAAATAATTGGTAAAAGTTTTTTTTTTTTTCAAATATTCACATGCAGACATTCCCCTTTGACATCATTTCCTGTTATTTCACATGCAAATATCTCAACAAATGTCCATCTGAGCATCGTGAAATTTGTTGTGTAATATGTTAATAATGTTGTCTTTCCAAAAATGCATTCACTTTTCTTACAAAAAAATTGGTGTCACAGGCACTTGAAGGTTTCATCTACAGCAGGGGTGCCCAAACATTTTCCCTGATGGGGCCAAAATGAAAACCTATCCATGGCTCCGGGCTAAATGCAGTTATATAATACATGAAATACAAATACTTTAAAGTCCTAYATTTTTAACCATGAAGCTGTGCAATGGCCCTCTTTTGTTTTAGTCTGTGCACTTGGAGAAAGTCTGCCATACGCACAAGTAGCAAAGGCTCATGGGACATATCATAAATTGATAAAATGAGTTTTGGTGTCCTTTTAAAGTATGCAAACCTGCATGTGGGGTTAAATCTGATCTAAATATTTCTTGTTGTCGTTTCATGTTTCTTGTTTAATCCTAATAAATCAAAAGATATGTCAGCACCATGACTGAAAACTACCTTCACTACAGCCTTTTTATATAGTCATTTGACCAATGGAAATACTGTGTATCTACATATAGGATAACAGGTTACAACCTTGTAACTTTGACAACTGATGGTGGGCCAAATCAAATGGCTTGGTGGGCCAAGTTTGGCCCGCGGGCCCCACTTTGGGCTCCTCTGATCTACAGCATTTGGGTCATTAGAGGATTTCCAGAAATAAAATTAAGTTTAAAACTGACTGCTAAGATTGTTTCTGCTATAATTTATATATGGATAAAAACAACTGGTCTATCAGCAATATTTTAATACTTAAACAAAAAATACCTAGGTTTATGAGTTTCTGCTAGTTTTTTATTTATTTATTTATTTATTTATTTATTTATTTATTTATTTTGTCATTTGTGTTTATTATGAATTTGGTCTAAAATTTAATTTCACTTGGCATTAAAAAGTCTTAAAAGGTCTTAAATTTAACTTGCCTTAAACTGTAGGAAACCTGCATCCAGGGTTGCATTAATTTTTCACCAAGATCTTTCATAGAGTCTGATCTTCTCCAGCACATCCCAAAGATTCTCACTGGACTCYGTGGAGCCAGTCCATGTGTGAAAATGATGTCTCATGCTCCCTGAACCACTCTTTCACAATAAGAGCCTGATGAATCCTGGCATCTTGAAATATGGCCGAGCCATCAGGGAAGAAACAATCCATTGCTGGAATAACCTGCTCATTCAGTATATTCAGATGAACTGACTTCATTCTTTGAGCACAGACTGCTGCTGAACCTAGACCGGACCAACTGCAGCAACACTACATCATAGCACTTAGTTAAATCCAGGTGGCGACCTTTTTTTTTTTATGGCCAGGCAGTGTATCATGATTATTACAAGAAAWACACATTGTTCCTAAACATTGAGTGTAATAACAACACAGGCCTATTTAAACTGAACCCTCCTCTCATTAGCTAGCGACAAGCTAACAGACTAAGGGAAGAGGTCTGAAGAGGAGGAAAAGGAAGTAAAGTGAAATGTTTAGTTGCTGCCACATAATTGAAAGGGAACAGCAGAGAGAAAATCATGAACCTGCCAAGTGAAACGGACAGATTTCCATGTAACAGCCRAAGCGTGAGTTTTGCTAGTTTTCTGTGAAGCCTGTGTGGGTGTAGTCATGTGTGTTTGTACTTCTCTGGCTCTGCAGCCTGGTCTATTTTAGAACTGGTGACAAAGCAAGAAGCTAAAATTTGGGGAGAAAGGTGTTGGAGAGATGAAAAATGCCTGCTGCTCCGTGTCTTTTGTCTTGGTGTGAAAACCACATTCCCACAGCGCCGCAGTTATTGTCCTACGCTATCCGCTGTCTTTAAGGTCTAACCAGGTCTCGTGTCCATTTATAACGCTGCCTCTTTTCTACATTTTTATTGTTGTCATCTAATTGTTTGGAACATCTTCACATTTGTGCGTTTTGTTTGTATCTTTACTGAAGTAGGGTACTGTGGTTTGTGTCTCTTCAGGTTGGTTCTCATCGTGTGAAACTGTCGAGGGGATTTGAGGCAAATGCACCAGCTTTTGAAAGGTAATTAAGCTGTTTTGTGTATCTTGTATGAGCACGCTTTTTTCTGCAGTTTTTGGCAGCAATATTTGACTTCTAACCGATTGCGCTTCACTACATCTACTGCACTTAATGTCCAAACACTGGTGAAAAGAACTCTGTTTATGAAGGAGAGGATGTTAATTAACGTCTGTCCTCTGAGGCTGGTTTAGTATCAGGAGCATAAAATCACTTGAATTGCCCTTGATTTACTGTTGACTGTCAGAGCTGTAGTTTTATGTTCACTGCTGGCAGTTTTGTTTTTTCCTTTTGACCTTTTGCATATTTCAGGAGTGTTCATAKTTTATATACGCTCACCAGATGTTTCGTGGCAGGGGTGTAAACCAGGCCTTTCAGATGTTCTCTCTAATCACTTTGCCACACCCAAATAATACTGGTTTCCCTCTTATCAACTCGCACCAGTCAGCTTCTACCAGACCAGTCTCTAGGTTCTCTTTACTTAGTTCAAGGCGACATTTTACTAGAGGCTGTAAAGTCTGTTCAAGGTTTTTTGCCTTTCATCGATCTCTGACTCCACCAGAGGCACTCACAAAATGTTTTTCATCAAAAAAGTAATTATTTTTCTTCAACAAAATTATACTTTTATACTCAGTTCAGATGCAATGACTTAAATGACTCATCATTTCTGATGACATATCCAAACACAGTTATGCCACAATTACCAAGTGCTTGTCACTTCTTTGCCTATATTTTTGTGATGGGTTACATATAACATGGGTCTTGATATYCAATATCGCAATGTAGTCGATATAAACATTTTTATTCTCCAAAAAGATCCCCCCCCCCCTTTTTTAAGCTACTTCAGTAGAAAACAGAATTTAATATTAGTTTCTTCAT